AAAAAAATATACCATAAAGCTTAAATAATCAGGAACTCTGCAGGAATGATCACCGAGGGATTAATATCAATAGCTCTTGTGACGTGATCCTCCTTGCAAGACCAGACAATTTCTTTTTAATGTATATATATATTTATATATATATAACTAGTCGTCGAATACAATACTTTTCAAGAGTTCATCAAAACCGATTGATCGTCTTTTTCTCCAAAAAATTTCAGACACGATCTCAGTTTTGCACACTTACTGATTTTTTCTATTTTTATTTGCTCCCTAAGAACAACAAAAAAGAGCAGTCCATTATATAACTACAAAGAAACTACCACATTCACCCAGTTTCACTTTTATGTGCAATCAAGTCTACTCACGTAACTCCTTTTTCAATAATTACAGAGCCATGCAGTCGGTATAAGCGTCGAAGGGGAGAAAAGGGTCATGAGGAATTTTTAGTTTCATACGCATGATTTGTCTATACCTGGCATACCTAACACACGCGTACACTTAACTGTTATGAATCATTTGCATCTTTTTGTTTTCTTGATAAATGTACAAAATTATACAGTTCTGTTTGTGGGCTCCATTGTATTTCAGTCTAGGTGCTGCTAGTTCTCTGGTTCAGAGGCCTGCAATAAAGTAAATTTTTTTTTAATACTTGATAAATCAGTAAGAACTCAAATAAACTATGCAAATATTATGATACTAACACTAGGGTCGCAGTCAGCGCAGTGCCAGGAATAACCTCGTCTCTTGGGAGATTTCTTGACAGGAGGATCGAGACACGTAAAGTGATAGCATCTCTTACATTCATCGCACCTACAAAAAAAACATTCATGTGAAATTCCAGAGTTCATTAATTAACTTTATCTTCAGCTCTTATTTAATGATAAGACACTTACGTAACAGAATTCTGACCACTGCCCATAGTTTTACAAACGGTGCACTCTAAGAGTATTTCCGCTTCTTTAGATTTCTTGTTACCAAGAGACACTCTACGCCCTCCTACTACTTCGGGTGGTGCTACTATGGGACGTATAGGATGCATAATTGGTACAGTAGTTGGCGAAGGCGTCGAGGGTACGAATGGCAAAGGTGCAGTTTGGATTGGTGGCTGTGGCTTGGCTGGCGATTTTGTTAGCTGCAATGGATGCGTTTGTGGAGGTACGAAAGTTGGTGGTGGTGGTGGTGGTGTCATCGCTGTACTTGTTGACGATGCCACAAACATCTGAGGATTCGAGTCCGATGCTATTTCACCTTCTGGTAGAGGTATGGGTTTGATCTGAAAGAAAAATCAATAAGTTTAGTATTGTGGAGAAATGGTTGCATCGGTGTGATTATGGAATAACATACTTTTATTGTGATTCGCCGATGGACTTCGGGAGGATTGTGATTTTCCGGATTTTCCATGTCCATGCTCTTTCGTTTGTGCTTTCGTTTTCGCTGTTTCATTCCAGTTATCGGATCTGGACTGTATCGTTTATGCTTTTCTCTGAAATTTCAATTGAAAATTAGATCTTTAGTCGAAAAACAAATACAAACTCCAATCAGCCTCACCTTCTCCTCTTCTTTCCACTTCGACCGGAAATTTTATCAATAACACCATCTAGAGGGGCCAGTCTATACTCCGGAGTGCCTTCCTTCACGGACATGATTGAATTATTAACCGCATGGTGATTGTAATTAATTTCTTCAATATCTATTAGTTCCGGCTCTTTTGGTTGTGGTCCCATCGGTTTGATTATTACCTGTTTAACAACAAACAAACATGAAGAAATAATTGATAAATCCAACAACCATCTTCACCTGACTTACCTTCGGCGTGTAAGGAACAGCATTGACATGAGAAATCGAGTTTTCATTAATACTGTTGTTGTGCAGAGACACGGGTGGCACATTATCGTGTATCGTTATAACTGGCACCATTGGCATTGGCACCGCAGCTACTGGTAGATGCGTAGGTGTCGACGCATTATTTTTCGACTCGCACGTTTTTTTTATTTTACTGGACGGTGGCTTATGCACCTGTGCCTCCTCGATTATCGTCGTGGCCGCGTAGTTACTAGATTCCTCTTTACAATGCCTCAGTCGTCTTGGCGCCGATGTGTCGATCCGTTCAACGTCCGAGTCCGACGATTCTTTATCGCATTCCGAGCATTGCCTGAAATAATTACAATTATTCGATAAGTTTAATTGCATTTCTACAAACAAATGAATTCGTACAAAAACTCACCATCCCATGAGTTTCGTTTTTTTGGGCGCACGAGTAAGTGGTGGTGTCAAACAGCCCTGATGATAGTGCAGCTGGCAGGTATCGCATTTGACCAGCAAATGCTGGTTCGTCGACCTTCTGCATATACCGCACTGATGCCTGAGCTGCGTCACACTAGCGTTGTGATTAATCTCAACTGCCGTTGCTAGACTTGACGTTGATACTGATGCTGCGACCACAGGACTTGCCGTTATCGATGATATGTGGCTAAAATCAAAAGTCGACGGCTCGTAGCTTTTGCTCGGTGTACTGTTGAAAGTTGAATTCAAACTAGCCGCTTTTATAGCTGCTATCGATGGAGTACTAGGGGCTGTTGAACAAAGATCGTTTAGTGGCAGGCAAACTGCGGATTTTCGATGAACGTAAAACTTTACTTACTCGGAGGCAATGGCTTTGGCTTTGCGATTTCGTTTATGACAGGCAGAGGCTTGGAGTAACCAACAGCCTTTAGTACCCGATGAAAGACCTCAATGCGCAACCTCAACTCATCGCAAACCCTTGCTTGGTCCTCGTTGAGCTTCATCGCCTCGTCATATTTCTTGTCGAGCTCTTGTTGCTCGGACAACAGCCGATTGTTGTCTGTGAGTAGCTCCTCCAAACGGGTTTTCATTGCCTTACTACGGGATTGCCGGTCCAAATAATAACTGATGAACTCGACACTGAAGGCTGGCGATATGTGCCACTTTTTACGAATGTCCACGAGCGAAGCTATCTGTTCTTCCTGGGTCTCCAGGACTTTTGTGTCTATGCCCATCAGCTCGGCTTTGCGGTACAAATTTCTGCACGCGGACGCCGAGGTCGTCAACAGTCTTGGCATCTTTTGTGTAGGAACTATTCAATAAAAATTTCATTGTTATTTTTTTTAGGGAGCAAAAAACTATGTCACTGCGATAATGTATAACGTACCCCAGGGTGGTGGCTTGGTAGCTTTGTGCGCGAGGTACTTGTGCCTGTGTTTGGTAAGCTTCCGCTGAATCCTCAAAAACTCCTCAGTCTCTCGGTACTCTGGCTTTTTGAGCATCTCCGCGCGATACGTTGCTCGAAGCTGTAACGCAAGCCAATTGCGTTTGCGTTTGCGAACAAGCACCTTGTCCGAATGTAACTTGCAGTGAGCATAAAAAGGGTCGGCTTGGTCGACTTCTTCGCTATGCGCTTCAGAGAGTAGGCCTTCCCTTTGAGCACTGGATTTTAAACAAAGGCATCAGACCTCACGCGTACAATTTATTGGAGAATTTTTCATAGGTTTAAGTACATACCAAGTAACGTGAAAATACGTGTGACACATGCCAGCATCGCACTCTATACAAACGCCAGTGCGGGTATATCTCACATCTTCACACAAGGAACAGGCCTTTGCTCCCCATTTGCTGTACGCCATTTCAAAGAGCGTCACACTCGTCAGTCGATCGACCTGTGGATGACGATGAGCTTGATGATTAAGTTGTTTCAAATTTTAGACAGTGAAGAAGAATCGAGTCTTATACCTCGCCAAACGCAACGCCAGGTACATAAAGTGCGCAAACCAAATGGACCCATTTGCCCACGTCAGTCTCTTTGAATATACCACCTTTATTTGGACAAAGCTCGCAGTTGGGATCCTCGACTCCCGCGCTGCAGGCCTCGCAAAACCAGGGCGCCGACTGAGACAACGAGTCCGTGCTGGAGAAACTCTCAACGTCCGACACACCATAGCAGCCTGCAATTCACATGATACCATATTTTAATCAAAGCTTTCTTTAACAAAACATTTGATAATGATACTGTGGACAAACTATGTACCTTCGTGAACAGTAACTCCGCAGCCGTCGCACTCGACGATCTCGTTGAAATCGTCGCTCCTGTCGCCCAGACAACCACAGCATATCAACATTTTGGATAATTTGTCATCCAGGGGTCCGCCCATTTCAGCCTGCTGTTTGGCCTTTTCAATGACGTCCCCCAAACTCGTGGGCTCCCCATTTTTCTGTTTGCCCAATAATGGATCCTCAGACTCGTCTGAATCACTCTCGTCATCGTCGTCGTCGTCATTTTCATCTGGAAGCACGTGTGATTATCACGACATCAATATTATACACTTCAGGTCATCTTGAAGTTTGTACATACCTTTTCCATCGTTGTTAGAGTCAACAGAGTCATCGTCAGACTCCTCGCAGTGATCTTCTATTCTAAAATCACTGTCGTCTGAACTTTCTTCTAGATCGAAATCTAACAGCGATGTCTGGGCAGATTCCACTGGTTTCACCCTTCTTTTCTTTGGATCTCTTTCAACTGAAGGCATTTTGAGTTGCATATATTTAAAATTTATCAAAAATAGTTTGAGGTACTGAAAAATTATTTCCAACCAAGCATCTAGACTTTAGGAGTTTTATAAACTGTAGTCCACATAAATAACAAGGAAACTACTATATTTAATGCACTTACAATCGTTCTCAGAATTACTTTACAGGTTTGAGATACCCAAAAAATTTGATTACGAAAGAAAATTACTAACATATTTGTGATAAGATCAACAGGTGACATGGGTAACTCTTAATGTATTTTTTGTTCCACTGAAATCGATTCATCAGTAATTTTTGAAGCAACTTTTGTAATATCTTTCACAGTAATTGACTGTTCAATGAACTTAAAAATAATAGTAATAACCAAGATTCAAATGTACTCACTCATAGTTTTGTACAGAAAGCCAACGTCATCGTCGTGCGACATCCTGTCAAGTTAATCCAATTTTTTTTTTTTTTTTTTTCAAATTACAAATAAAAGAAACTACACACACATACGCACAGGTTTTGAACTGACCAACGAAAAAAAAAAAAAAAAAAAAAAAAAAAAAAAAGAAAAAAAGAAGAAAAAAAATTCAACACCACTAGCACTGCAGCAACCACAAAATAATGTACAATCTTCGTCCAAGGGAACGAAAACGAAGGCAGCAGAGGATGACGACCCGCGAGTGTGTCCACGCGTTGGGTAAATGTATGATGTGTATACGTTATGCGTGAACCCACTTTTTCGTGTACATATGTACACACGCAGGAACTGTATTACGGAAATACGATGAAACTCCAGGAGTAGATTTAACTAAACGAGTTGTGCTGTGCGCGGCTGCTACGTGATTGTACTCCCAGTATTCAGGAAGGCGTCGAGAAGGACGAGGACGACGACAACGATGCAGCACCCGGCATCATTATCATCATCTGCATCATCAGCATCATCGTCATCTCATTCCCACATGACGTACATCAAGATCTTCCACGATTGTATATGGCAGTTTTGATGCTCCCTGTATACACAGATATACGTGCAAAACAACAAAATTAAATTAAATTATGCAGTAAACACGGTATACACATATGTATATATAGTACACACAACAAGCAGACGGCTATACGCTCTCGTGTAAGTGTACACATGCACACACTCATGCAAAAAGGAAATAATTTAAAAAAAAAAAACACCTTATTTGGCTCTTTATCGCGTGTGTGTGTGTGCTGCACCAGCCCGAACGGCTCTCTTCTTGTTATGTTCCTTTCTTTTTGTCTTTTTTTTTTTTAAGCCGTCGTTCGTGGTATGCGTCCCCCGCCCCCGCCCCCGTGGATGTATACTACACTTTTGGACCAGATAGAAAATAATACAAACACCGAGAGGGATATTTCTCGTTCGACAATTTTTTTTCTCTTCTCTCTCTCTCTCGCCTGTTTCCCTTCTCTCGCTTTGATTAAAAGTACAAGCTTATCGTTGCGAGACGAAAAATGTACAAGTCGTTACGAGATATGTCGTACATTAAGGTAAGCGTTTTATTGTAAAAGGGCCACGCTCCACGCTGCCAAAAAGAGAGAGAGAGAAGAGAAAGGGGGCTGAAGTGGCTGAACCGCTGAACACACACCCTTCTGCTATGCTCTTTCGCTCGGACATAACCTAAACTGTGCGCACTTGGTCAAGGTGAGGTTAGATCTTTTTTTGATTTGGTATATATAAATGTATATATGTATAATTTTTTTTTTAATTAAGTATAGTGCTCTACGTCCGGCTCCTTTAATAAGGGCACTACTAATACTACTATGGGCACTTAGCACTTGGGGACAAGGAAAGGGATGGGAGGCCTCCCATTACTGGCAGGGGGGTAGGGGGAAATTAGGCAATTTTTGCTGCGAGAAGGTCGCCTAAACCCTCCTCAAGGAGCATTGCGTGGTGAAAAAGCACATGTGAAAAATCACAGAGGTACTCGCCTGAAGAGTCGCACTGGCCGGGAATCGAACCACGGACTCCCGCGTGCCAATCCACGACGGCCACGACCTAACCGACTGAGCTACCGCGCGCTCTGTGGGTGTTTTCCGCAATCGTCACCAGCAAGTAATTTAAATTTGCGCTCTACGTTACCGTCAAGTCGGTAAGTCAACTACCTTGAATTAAACTGGCGCTTTGTTCCGTAATCTGGCAGTTTAATTCAAGGTAGTTGACTTACTGACCTGACGGTAACGTAGAGCGCAACCTTAAATTACTTGCTGGTGACGATTGCGGAAAACACCCTATATAGGTGTGTATAATTATACAAAGCTAGAGCCTTCTATCGGTACTTCAGAATTTCGCCACCATGTGTAAGGGTAGATAAGACGGTGTCACTAGCAATTACGAGCCTTCATTCGCTGTTTCCAAAATTTGCCGCTTTCAATTAATGGGGCCGATCCAAATATCCCATAACCCATTCCATTCCCATAATACATATATGTTGCTCGGTAAAGTGACAGTAACCCGGGGCGGGGTAATCTGCTGGTGCTAGAAAATGTCGGTAAAATGAAAACTAATTGATATAGTAGTAATGTAAAAATTCGCTCTTTTTGTTGAACTATAACGTATAGAAAAATTGTTTTCAGCTCATACAGAAAAAAAGGGCAAAATTTGTTATAAAAAAAACACGTAACCTTTAAAGTATAGCTGTCCAACGAAGCAAAAAATTAAAAAAGGAAGATAATGAGCTGCGTTTGATTAGAATCCATTCTATAGTTTTTTTTTTTTTTTTTTTTTTTTTTTTTTTTTTTTTTTTTTTTTTTTTTTTTTTTT